ATCGTCGAGAGCTGCGAGCACACGTGAAAACGCATACTGGCGAATCTCCATATTCCTGCTTCCTTTGTAAAAAGGCATATAATAGAAAAAGATATCTGAAGAGACACATGGCATGCCATCCCAACTTTTCACGGCACCGCTGCCTGAAGTGTGGTTGCCGCTTTAAATCAAAATCAGAATTAGACAGCCATGCGACAACACATGATCTCGTCGCACCCTACGCTTGCAGTCAATGTTCGCGTATATTTAATCACAAAGGCAATTACAAACGGCATCTGATCAGCCATTTGGATCCGCAGGGTCTTCATTTGCCTAAATATCCGTGCAATTACTGTGACAAACGTTTTCCTAACAATCGTACACTCCAAACGCATATACGGGTACATACTGGTGAAAAACCGTTCAAGTGTGATGTTTGTCATAAGTCATTCTCTCAACGAGGCAACTTATTGAACCATTCAAAGATACATTGGAATCCTCGCAGCTTCACATGCGAAGTCTGTGGCAAAAGGTTTGTAACTTGTGTACATATATTTGCAGTTTAATATATAAATAGACAAATTTTGAAATAGGATATAATGCAAAATATCGTAATTTAAAAATATTCTAAAGGTATGTTATAATTATAATTTAAAAAGAATAAATAATTGTATTATTGTATTATACTGTTCATTAATATCTTTGTTATATAAATAATATTTAAGTATTATAAATTTTTTTTAAATTTTAGATTAAATTTTTTAATGATAATATCTGTATATTATATTGAATATAATATTTAATGTAAACATTCTTATATCTAATTATTATAGCTTCAATCAACGTGCTACATTACGAGATCACACATTATTGCACACTGGTGAGAAGCCTCACATATGTAATGTATGTGGGAAAGCATTTACGGTTAGTGCAGCGTTGAGAAGGCATATGTTCAATCACGTTGAAGTCAGGCCATTCAATTGTGATAATTGTGGTATGGGATTCATCGGTAAATACGATTTACGACGACATATGCGAGTGCATGAGAACCGACCTAAGGAAAAGCGTAAAAAAAACACAAAAACAACTAATGTTCTTCAGCAAAAATCGGAGGAAAGTCATGTTACGTTGGAAGAATCGAAAACTGAGACTGCGCTCATAGAAATAGAAGAAGGATTTTTATCACAAAACATTATACAGACCATACCACAAATCGAATCAGAAAAGGAAAATGAGGATGCACTATTTAATAATCTTCAATCTTATTCAGTTATATACAGTACAACTGAAGATAGATCATAGATTGTGTAATATATACTATCTTATTACAAACATATTTTTGTTTTACTCATATATTCACTTATACAGTGTTGCAATCATTTTCTTTCCCTCTTCAACTCCAATATGTGGTATAGAATTTATACGGCACTTTATCAAAGTATATTTTTACAAGGTATCTTTTGAAGTTAACAGTCAATTAGCTTTTTGCCTAAATATACGGAATGTTTGGCAATAGATATAAGAAAATAAAAGAAGTAAAATTACGGAGTCGGGGCTCTATCCTTTAATTATAAATGTTTCATTTATGTATTTAATTTAAATATTCATGCACTTTAAAGATTTTATGTGAATATTTAAACATTTATAAATAAAAAACAAAGCAATTTTGTTATCGACTTTTATCTTATTTTATCTAGAATTACTTTTTTTAAGTTTTCACCTGTTGCCGAACACTGTATTAATATATTTTGAAAAAAAAAATCTAATTTCCGAAATGAAAGATTTTTGCTATTGCTAATTATGTATAAATAATTAAAAATAATTTTATTTTTATGATACTCTATTTGCAAATTTTAAAAAATATTTCATAAATATTTTCTTTTAATTTCTGTTAATAGAAATAATAGTATAGAAATATTCTCTTATTACATATAAAAATGTAATTATTATATATATAATATATAATAGATTTAAGTTAATTCAGAAATATTTTGTATTAAGAAAATTTTTAGGATACAATATCTGAAGATTCCAAAGGTTTATATATAAATTGTAATGTGTATATAAATAATTGCAATATATTATTATAACGACGAAGTTATGTAATATATTACATTGGTTGCCACGACGCATCACTTATACATAAACAACACTTCTTGTTTTTAATAGGAATGATATAAAATTTTTTGTGAAAAAATTAATATTTAGGATCCCTTTATTGATAAGCCGCTAAATAAAGAACGTAGATGTTTGATGTTTTAACTATTGATATAAACTATTGATGTAAACAATTTGTTTAAAATGCAAATGTTAAATTTGATATGTCATTGTACAAGCGTTTTATAAGTAAGCATACATATTTATCCCTCAACAATATTATATACAATATATTACTATATTTTTCTCTAATTCTTACCTGCATGGATAATCATCAAACATAAACATTAATGCAGATAACAGAAGAAATAAAATATTTGTTATTCATACACATATATATTTGAAATTAAATATATAAATTGTCGAAATTTTGAATTAAACAAACTTCCATGTCAACAGTGATTTTTATATAATTTATTATTATTAAATCTAATAATATATAATATATGATTTATCACTAATTTTTGTTATATGAAATATATGTATCTTAAAAAAAAAGCTCTTAGTTTAATAGAGAGCTTTGTCTTACATATTTTAAAAAACTAAATTAATTTTTCAAATTATTTTTTAATTAAACGTATATGTAGATATACATGAGATCTGTATATCTACATATACGTTTAATTAAAAAATAATATTTAGTGGCTGAATTAGTGTACACTTTTGGAATCTAAAGATAAAAAGTATATGTTTGACATTTGGCAAAATTGAGAAAGAGAGTTCTAGTGTAGGAATAAAAAATAAATAATGAATTTTAAAGCTTTTATTATAATCTCTAATGATCAAATATACCACAGATTATTTGTAGAAACAGAATACTATTTTTTGACCACAGAGAGCGCCACGTGTGTTATTTCACGATTCTCTGTCGGTCTGAAAATCAGTAGATATATTTTTTAGATTAGAGCATTGATTGATAAAGGCTGTTTATATAGTCAAGAAAATTTTCATAGGATTACAAATAAGATGTTTGTAATTATTCGAAAAGAAATGTTGTGAAAAATTGGTAAATAATATATTTCTACATCGTAGTGATAAATTGTTTCAGTGTAGTTGTCCCTTTAATTTATATTTTTAATAATAATTCATCTGGAATTTGTTAATTTTTCGATCTTTATTAAAATATTCTTTAAAATTGATTGGATAATTAAATTTTCTATACCTTCTAACTTCTTCATCATCCACTAGATGTCGTATTCAGTCTATCAAGTTATTATAAAAATCGAAGAAAGAAATTTTGTGGTTTCGAGTTTTAATTGACTAGTATGGAAATGATTGATAGCGATATTTTTTTGTATTATTAATGGATATTATTAATGGCTCAAGTATTGTTATGATTATTAGTTTACTGATTAATTATTGGTAGTTGTTTTACAAATGCAATTCATAGTTTGGAAATATGAATCCTGAAGCCGCGCGCGTGTGCATTCAGTAATATTAGATAGGACAATTAAATTAATTAATTATATGCACGAAACTCGAAAAGGTTTCATCATCGTAGATATTTAATAATTCTTTAAGAATTGGATCGTAAATTAATTAATGGCAAATTAATTATTTCTGGTAACTCTTTAAATATCGGTTAAATATATTGGTTTTTCTTAGGCAACTTGTCTTTTTTTTTAAATAATATAAAGCTAATTGTTTGTCATTCTTGAAGTATTGTAGTACTTTAAATTGACATTTATGCATTCTTTTGCAAAATTTGTACGAAACATATATTAAAAAATTGTGTATTTAAAAATTTATTTTATTTTATTTTCAGATTATTGATGTGATCTTCTCTCTGTCCTTTTCCTCATTGTGTTTTCATCTGTGTATTTTATTTTTACATACATCTGATTCAAATCAAAATCATGATCTAATAAAATTTTGGAATAAAAAAAGTCTTTATAAATTATAAATTGTATCGAAGGTAGGTATATGATATTATTTTTAATATAAAAACAAATTAATAATGCATATAATATTATTTGATTATGGAATATGAAATAATAATTGTTAGTACAAAATAGTCAGTGAAATGTATTAATACAACCAGAACATTAATTTGTACTATATCAATTTAAACATAGGTTACAATACAATAAACAGTTAAAAAGTTTTTAGTGCTCCAAAATCCGCATAAAATGAAATACAAAATCTAAAAATAATGTGTGTAGTCGCACTATGAATGTTTTCACAACGCGAATCAATAATCTTTCTAACAGCTTTGATTGAATAAAATCGCAGTTGCACGCATTCCACATTTTTTAATACGCGGATTAAAGTGAAAATTTGCACGATACTTTCGAAATCAAATACGGCTGTCTAATTCTAATTTTCTTATACATTTATATTTACTGTTTACAATTTATATTTACTGTTCACTGCTAACATATTCGAAATTTGAGTTACAGTTGGTGCCAATTCCACACAGCCAGAATACGATTAAACGCTTCATTGAATTCCTGATCGTATCGATCAAGAACAAAGGATTCAAGTGGCATATCACGGGAGAACGCGTGAAAGCACCATCCAAATCGGAGCGCGCGTTCGCGAGAGTCGCCGAACATAAAAATCAACGATGTTGCTGGCTGCGCGTTCGGTGCGCAATTGAGAGCTGCGGGAAGCGTCGCGCGTGGCTGCGCGGCGCGCGACTGCGCAAGTCGCGCATGCGCGACGGACGTCGAACGGACAGTAGTCGCTACGGTGGCGCCAGTCATGGCGGCTGAAAACACACGCGCACGCTGCCGCCGCCGCCGCCGCCGCCGGTCGGTGCCTCCACGCCTCTACCTCGCCTCCGCCACCGCCACCGATCCCACGACTCGTGGGTAAGTACCCTCACACTCTACGCTCCAATCAGTCTGCACTCGCATGTCCACGAGGTTGCTCGCACGGGGCCTGGCGGCATCCTCTCTCTCTTCCTCTCTGTCTCTATCTCGTTTCGTCCGCTCGTACTCCTGTTCTATCATATTCTCTATCTCGCTCTTCCCCCCCTCTCTCGCTCTCTCATTTACCGTCTGTTTGTCTATCTCTCTCGCTCTTTCATTCACCTGACTCTTAACGCGAGCAGTGTGTTACACAGCACGGGGGTGATACCGGTCGCCAGTCGAGGTACTGGTCGCGGACACTGCAGCCGTGGTTGAGGTTAGGTCGACGTCGACCAGTCGGCCGTAGTGGCGGGACGCGGCGCGGCGGATTTGAATTTTCGAACCCACCGGTTACCCGCGCCGTGTTTACGCGGCTCCACCGGGTGCCGCAGATCGATTCGCGCGCGCGTTGCGATCGGAGGGATCGTCATTGTTTGCTGTCGTTTTCCTGCCGGACGGTTGCAGACCGGGTTTGTGATTATCGTCATCCACGATAACCGGGCAAACCGTTACGGCGCGATTGCAGATTAGACCGACGACAGCGTTTTGTTGAAACGAACGGAAACGCTCTGTGAGGACGATGCGCCGCGAGTTTTTAACGTCATCACCATCGCCGCCACCGCCGTCGTCGTCGTTGACATTGTTATTGTCGCTGAGATCGTCGCATTCGCGTCTGGTGGAAACGCGCAGCGACGGAGACAAGCAGCGAGTCCTGTGAGGTTTCTGTGAATGTTCTCGGACAGCCGCGTGCCGCGGCTAGCCGCGCATCAGTTTCTCAGTGCACACGAGGAAAACGTATGCGTGCTGGTGATCAACATGTCTATTCTTGCGCCCGGAAGCGCCACGCGGATCCCACTCGGTTTCGCGTATCGTATCGTGTCGTGTCGTGTCGTCGAAGTCGAATTCACATCGCGTCGCTCGGACAATGAGAACGTCGTGGTCTGCAAAATATGCTCCAACCCGTCGCTCCGAGAACGGAGCGTTCACGCGATTATCTCGCGAGTCTTGCACATTTTCTTTGGAACGTAACTGCTGTAGCGAACGTAGATGTAACGCACATTCTACAATAAGTCGTTATTTAATCCTCCATGGTTCAACCAGAGACTTTGAAGATCTAGGCAAATTTTCAATTTTCAATCATTATTCCTCACATTCGGATACGTATAAAGAAAGTGAAAATCATTTCGAATCATACATGAGCAGTTTGATAAGTCAATGATTCTGCAAAAGGAGACTATGTTGGAAAATAAATCGAATTTTGATATAAAAAAGTTAAAAAAAAATCACTTATTAAACTGTCCTCGTTATTGTGAAATTATATTTTTGAATGTTGTGAAACAGCGTGAATTTTTTTTAGATTTTTTTAGAGCTCAAAAACCTTTGGAGAAACATAATTAGTGATCCGGTTGGACTAAGAAAGCAGTGAAAGAAAAACGTTGGAGGGTTAAGCTTCAAGTCTTAAGCCGTAAAAAATTAATCGGTCACAGTCGAATGTGAAAAGAATAATCGACTACGGTTAATCAATTTTTTACAATTTAAGACTTAAGCATAGGTAATAGCTTATTGTAGAAAGCCCTTAAGAAGACTGCGCATTTCTATGAAGTTGTCATTATCGATTTAGAGAGAGTAATGTGTAGCTTAAATCATATATATATATATATATATATATATATATATATATATATATATATATATATATATATATATATATTGTTCTCTTTCTTTCTCTCTCTCTAAAATATTGAGTTTATTTTATTTATTATATTGCAAATTAAATTTGTAGACACACGAATAATCAGTGTCGATTTGTGATGGTATTAACTTTTTACTTATATTCGTTAGAGTCTTCAGTATATTAATATTGTTTGAAATATTAAAGAGAAATTCAGATATGATTGTCAGCATTGCGTTCTCTTTCTAAATCGAGCACAGATGCTACAATCAGGGAATGTGCAGTCTATTTTTTCTACATCTATGGTAGCGAAAGTGCCTTACGTTAATAACGACGAGAATGTTGTCGATTCTTGTACGAGACAAGTGAATTTTATTACGCAAAGTTTTGCTTCTTTGCCTCAGAAAAGAAACGCTATCGATAAGAGTGACATAGAATAATTACGGTGAAAATGAAAATTGCTAGATTGTCGCGTAGAAGCTAGGAATTTATCTGCGTGTATCATTATTCGAACGTGATATTTGAGCGTTTTTACATTAATTTCTTAACGTTATTTGTATTGGCTGATTAGATAACGTTACAGATATTGACAGCTGCCAACCGACTGTTTTATGAACGATTGACAAGAGGCTCTTGTCTCTTTAATGTGTGAGTAACGAAACTTCGTACTTTAACCAAATTTTGAAATATGCAATCTATATTATCGAATTATTACTGCATTTTAAAGCAGTATAGAGATAACGT